GAGCTGTTTGTCGGCTCAGCGCGGCAGCCATGTAAATTTAAATGAAGGGGCGATTATTTAAATCGCCGCTTCATTTTACTATGTCCGGTACCCTAATCTACATGCCTCTGTCGCCAGAGGCATGAGCTGTTTGTCGGCTCAGCGCGGCAGCCATGTAAATTTAAATGAAGGGGCGATTATTTAAATCGCCGCTTCATTTTACTATGTCCGGTACCCTAATCTACATGCCTCTGTCGCCAGAGGCATGTAGTCTAGACGTACCCTATGATTCTATGACTAACAGGGCAGACTGATGAACCCTGTGGTTAGTGGCAAGCACCCCTTGATAGGAAACCAATAACAACTTTCATCAGAAAGACAACACCCCTGAGGGGTCGTCAGCACATGGACATCAAATGACTGTGAGAACAACTTCTTCTCGATAAGCATATGTCGTAGGAAGACTGATTGTGATGTTGAATGACTAATTAAGGCCTGACAAAAATGCATAGACTTGCATGGAAGGAAAATCCTATAAAGGATAGGGTGTCTTATATGGTTCTTTGGGTTACCGTACTCCCAAGAAGAGCATCAGTCTGGACTGACAAGAACCCAGCTCCTTCCTCACATTTGACCTATCTTGCCAACAGGCTGGGTCAAGCAACAGACTGGTAACTATTCCATCAGCAGGGTGTGACTGTGTATGTGTGTGTGTGTAAATGCATGCTACTTTGTTATATTATCAATAAATGTGGCGTGTTGCCTTATCCCCCTGAAAAAGATCCCGTGTGCTTCTTTTAAGCATAACAGCTGATTCCAATGTATTACCTTTTCCCATAATTTCCTGCAACTGTGAAAATAACAATCAATAAAATATACAAAAAGAAAAATCTTTAAACCCATAATCTGGTGCATCTGTTGGAAAAAATGAATAATAAAGGCTAAACATAACCAGTGACATTATCCATCAAAATTAAACGCAAATTCGGTGAAACCTGCATTACTCAGGCTGTAAGACACTCTCACAGGCCCTATACTGTCAACATGGAGATTGCAGACATACAGCCCCCATACACACAAGAGACAGGGGGCAAGGCTAACTTGTTCCCAGTTTATGTGAGGCTACAGACTGGCAGAGTGAAGGGAGCCTTTAGGCAACTGACTCTGCATACAAGTTCTATGAATTCAGTACCCCTGCTTATTGCCAGCAGCACCAGTCACAGAAGACATATGCCTCTGTATGAAATGGGTCTCTTATGAGAAGCGTGCAAAGCTTTTAATGGGCCCTCTTTTCTTGGGTGAATTACACCTGATATGTTCAGCACAGGCCAAAAAGCCCATTTACTATGTTAAGACAGGTTAAATTTTTTTGTACCTTTTTGGATGTTATTTTACTTTGCCAGCATTTCCTAGATTATGTTATGGTATATTTATGGCAAAATAATGTGAAAATAAGATAGACATATGAATGACTGGGCTCTGATTTGAGCCTTTTCAGTTGCTTATCTTACTATATATTTTAGAAATGAGAGTCAGTCTGTGAGTCCATTTGTTCAAGAACTGCTCCTAAATAGTAAGAGCTATGCAGCTTCCTCTTATCATAACTTAAAGCAAGGTCAGGGTTTGGTTGTGCCAGGATAAGTGAATGTGCATGGAAGGTGGTTATTTCACATCAAACAGAAAGGGGTGTGAGAGAGAGCAGGGACCATTATAAACATGCATGACCACAGGGGGCCAGGAAGTGCCCCAGTGAGCAGCTTCTGGCTGTTAGTACGGTGCCCGCCACTCCAGGGAGCAGATGCCAGAAGTGAGTGCTGATCACAAGATTGTCTACAGAGGGGCTTATGATTTGCAATGCTCTGTGCTTCCACAAGTCAGACTGTGCATTTTCTATACTATTTCTGCCAGCGGAGGAGATAGATCAGAACTGTCACAAGGACTATGGGAGCAACCCCCAAACCTGTTCATTGGTGCATAAAGGAAATTCTGGGGATTGGGGAAGCTAATTCCCATTCAGCGATCTTGTATGGATGTGTCAAATACCTAGTCCCTTTACACAATGGCCAAGGTGGATAAATGGCATGTTATTTGGAGTGACTGCCTAAGCTGCAAGGCAATAATTATAAACTGAGTTTTTCATGCAGTTACCAAAGACAATTGGTGATGCAAAAAAGATATTTTGTATCATAGACTAGTACTTGTATAATGGCTACTAAAATAAGGGAGACAGCTAACCAGTACAGTATGTGCTAAAGGTGTGATGCAGTAGGTATCACAGTAAGTAACAATTTAAAATCATGTGTAGGTGCTCTGTTGTGATCTATGCTACAGACTTATGATGATGTACATGTCACCCAGAGTGTGAAAAATCAGCACACCTGATCAGCAGTTACATTGACCAAATTCCTGTTGTAGGAAGGACTATATCTCTGGCAGCGTTTCTGGTGTCAGCATGGGGGAAGTAGAGTACCTATGCTTGTAGGAGAAGTTCTCATTTGTGTAGATAGTGTCCAAGTGCCACAAGAGCACTGCAGCATCCATGTAAACTGTGCTGCTGCAGTGCTGTATGTGCTGACAAGCTCTTTATCTCACAGGCGTCATTCCTGCATAATAATTTGCATAGGTGCAACAGTGTAGTGAAGCAAAACACATGCCCAAGGATAAGTCTATATAGCATTGCAAATCTGGGCTAACCCTCAGATTTGATCCCACCCATGTCCACAAAGAAATCTGTCTAAATCAGGTCAACAAGCAATCAGGACCCAGGTCCTTTTGAGCCTAATGCCTGTCCTACAATACAGGTAGGTCAAAAAAGGCAGCTTATATCAAACTAATTCTATAAGCATGTACATCAAAATGTAGCTCCCACCAATGTAACTCACCCACTACTGACAACTTCAAATCCAGGAGAGGTGCAGTGTTTAGGTCGATGTCACTAGGTTGCTACAGTGTCAGTGTAGACACTGCATTGCTTACATTGATTGTAGCTGCCTTTCAGAAGTCACCCCCCAGTGCCCCACACCAGCAGCTCAATCATAGGTGCAAGCACTTAGTCCTGGAACAAGGACATGTAATGTAGCCACCAAACCTAATGTAATTACTGCTGTGGCTATACATCGTTGTAACTTAGGTCAACTTAATTTTAAAGTGTGAATTAGGTCCAAACTTTGTCTTGCAGCTGGAGACAGCTCCAGCCACAGGCTGAAGTCAGGCCTGCCTATTAACGTGGCTGTGCGAGCCCCAGAGCCAGTAACTGTAAAACCAGGTTTAGCATGTGGTGCCCATGTTCAATTGCAGGCTTGGAAACACAGAGCATGCACCGCAGGCCCCTCAGTCCCGGCCTTAGTGCAGCACAGGCATAATCTCAGAGATTTGGTCGTGGTGGGAACTGACTCCCAGAGACCCAGGGCTGGGCTGTGTCCCTTTCAGCGGTTCTAGCCCCAACAGCAGTCCCGGTGCGGGTCCCAGTTATCACCCCCCCCCCCCAGCACTTACATCCTGGTGATCCTCCACCACGCACACGGGCAGCGCCGGGTAGCTCCGCAAGCGGCCCGGCTGCCCTGCGCTGCTCATGGCGGCCGCGCTAGGCGAGCGTTCGGAGCCAAGAACTTTCGGGCCAGCAACGTTCTACGGTCCGAACGCCGAGGGCCGCGACGTTCCGCGGAGCACCAGCGTGGGACACCCGTGCGGCAAGGGGAGGAGCAGGGGGCGGCCCCCCTCCCCTGCCAGGGGCCGGGCCGCCGCGCTCCGCAGCCGGGGCTCCCCCGCAGGGGAGGGGAGCGCACGGGGCCAGGGGCTCCCCGGCCCCTCCCTTGCCCATTGCCCGCCCCCTCTGTGACCCGGCCCGGATGGCTGCGGCTGGGCTTCCGCGCGGGGTGGATGCTCCTCCCTCCCTTTTCCTGTTCCGGAGCCGGTGTCTGGCTGACTGGTGCCCGGCCTGCGCCGCGGGTGTTGGTCTGCGAGGGGGGCTCGTGCCGGTAGGATGGATGCCCCCTCCCCCCGCTTCCTGCTGGGAGGGGGCTCCCTATTCCCCGGGTCCCACCTCCCCTTCCCAGGAACCAGCGTCTTCCCTCCGCTTCCTTCCCGGCTGGGCACCTTGCTCAGGATGCCGGGTAGGGTTGGAGCTGTCTGCGCTGATTTCACGTGGACCCTTTTCACTGGGTCGCTTAGGTTTGAATGGAGGGGAACCAGAAACCCACTAGAGCTGCTGCGTATCGCCTGGGACTTAATGCCAGGATGGCTTCCTTCCTCCTGCAAGAGCTTTGGGTGCAGACTTGTGTGTTTCCTCCTACCTTTTGTTTGGTGTTTGCAGCAGCTGCGTTGAGTTACAGGTTGACTGCAAAATCCCAAGTTCACAGAACTTTGTCTTGCTTTGTAGTTTGTCCTGGGCACACCTAAGGGCTTGCCCACACTACAAAGTTGTGTTTTAACAGTACAGGTACAGTCAAAACGGTGTGACCTCCCTAGTGTGGATGCAGTCATATCCATATAAAGATGCTTATAGTGATAGAGCTATTGTAGGGCAAAGGAAATAATTATCCTGATAGAAAGTGGTGTAGCCCTGCTACTTTGGATGTGGTTACATTGGTTTATAAAGGTGCTTCCTCTACAGGGAAAGGAAAATCTAATGTGTAGTGGCATAAATCACTTTTTATGCCATTAAAAATATCATCCCTTAACTGAAATAGCCCCTAACTGGTAAAACAGCTTTAAGCATAGGCAAGGCCTAAATGTGATGCACAGCTGATACCATCTATCAAAGCTCTCAGACTGTCTGATGTAGGGCTGCCAACTTTCCTGACTGGATGGATGGGACATCACTGCTGCAAATGGCATCTGGTCTATGAAGCCAGGGAAGTTGGTAACTCTAGATCCGTGGTGCCCAACACCCTAGCCACATGTGGCTGGTTGACTGTGGTTAGTTCGCTTTAGCAATAGCTACTAGAGGATGTGTCTAGACTCTAGTAGTGGCCTTTTTCCAAAAAAACTTCCCCTGCGTTTAGACTGCTGCCATTTTCTTTCGAAATTAAATCAAAAGAACGTGGCGTTTTTTTCAACTGTGGTAAACTTCATTTTACAAGGAAGAACGCCTTTTTTCAAAAGTGCTCTTTCGAAAAAAGGTGTTCTTGAATGCAAACAGGGCTTCTTCGAAAGAAAGCATCCAGGCTGCCTGGGTGCTCTCTTTTGAAAAAGCGATCTGTTTTTTCGAAAGAAGTGGTTGCAGTCTAGATGCTGTCTTTTGAAAGAGGCTAGATGTAGTCTAGACATAGCCATAGTGGCTACTGCTTCAGAACTGGTTGAACACCACGGATCTGGATGATGGCCTCTTGACACCACCCTTTCTGGCTTAAAGGTCAGACATAAGGCTCTGCTGTTAGGATGGAGCAAAAATAGACTACTTTCAGAAGACTGCTCAAACAACACATTGCTAGTGTGGTGACTGAGGAATATCTGTGTTAAGATCCTTACATAGTGTCATCACCCACAGTATCTGTGGGAAGAAAACTACAAAATTAGAAAAAAATGAGTGGTCCTGTTGTACCTTAGAGATTAACATAAATATATAAATATTATCATGATTTTTCATGGGCACAACTCACTTCTTTGAAAGAGTAGAGCAGCTTTTTTTGCTCCATTCTTCTGAAGAAGTGGGCTGTGCCCACAAAAGCTCATGGTACTATTTAAGTATTTTTGTTATTCTCTAAAATGCTATAGGACCACTAAATTACAGACTAGCACTGCTTCCCCTCCGAGACTACAAAATTAGGTCACCTTAATTTAGGTGTGTGGGGCATCCTGCCTCACAGTTGGGTCATCACCCCAGGATGAGGACTTAAGCTGTGAGCCCAGTGCCAGGTTGACAGCTGGGGGGTGGGCAGCTGTAAGCCCCATGCTGGGCGCAATATCAGGGCAAGAAGCATATTAGCAGTAAAATTGACATTCTTGTCAGTTTCAAGACGCTAGCTCTGACCTTTGCCACTGATGCTCTGAGCTGGAGGCAGCCAGGAAGTTGTCAACAGACAATGTAAGTAACAGTGTCTACATCAGGAGCAGGCAAGATTTGGCCCACCAAGCTTCTGAATCCAGCCCCTGCTCCCAGCCTTGATCCCTCACTACAACCTCATTTGCGGCTCTGGCCTCACTTCCGGACCCAGACTAAGCCTAGGCCTCCTTGGTCCTTGCCATATTTGCCTTCCCTTTCCACTCTGAGTTGTATTCCCACGCTCAGCCCCTGGCAAAGAATGCACAGCATGGACAGAGGTAAGGAAGGGCATGATGCTGAAAAGTTTGGGGCCACTGGTTTGTTGATACCACCAACATATTTTGAAGAGCCAGAAACAGAAACTACATTTTTTTTTTAATCTTTGGTATTCTTGTGAATGTGTGTTTTTTAAAGATAACAGGTCAGACCTCAACTTCAGTAGCTATAGCTCATCTAAAACGTTTTCCTCTTTTCCCCTAAAAGGAGACCGTTATTGTTACCGTTTATATAATCAGGCACTCTGTCAAACAGGGATGGAAAAGAGGGAGGAAGAAAATTTCTTTGTAAAAAGACCCTACGATTAAAGGGAATATGGACTACTATTAAAATGAAAGCAGTACTGGTTCATGCCTCATATGTCTAATGCTTTAAGTGTTTTTTTTTTTTTTTTAAATAGTTACCCATTTTAACTCAGGACCTGTCGCCCGGCCTGCCTCTAGTTTCGCTGCAGCTGTGAGGTCACATCGCATGGCCAGGGCCACTGCTATCCAGTGTGGCTGGCTGCGGGCAGAATTCACTGGCCAGGGCTGGTTAATCAGTAAGCACACCAGTAACTCTCATGCAAACCGGTATGCTTACTTTTTACCCATTTTATATCCCTAAATAAAAGCTTAGATGTTGCCATAGGATTTGGCTTGCTGAGGGCTCTGTGAGCTCAACCCCAAACCATGTTTAATTGTGCATGGGTCCATTTATTCCGTTTAAATTAACGGGGAATGTGATTATGCCTTGGTTATCCCTGAATTTGTCCATAGCCATGCATCCAGTTTGTAGATCATATGGCAAGGTAACTGGCAAATGGGGAAGTTGACACTCTAAAACCATTGCGTGTTTTATTTCTTTATCCTTCTTGGGTTGCTTGTGTTCTTAGATTGTGAGTTCCTTGGAAGGCATGATTATGTCTGTTTGAAAATTGCCAGGCATATTTTGGACGCTGACATAATCCCATTAATAATGATAAAACTGGACTGAAGCTCTGGAGAAATCAAGGCTTCAGCCACATTTCTCAGATAGATTTGATCAAGCTTTCACCAGTTTGTGAAATATTGGTATGCCCGGAGTACCTTACAGACTGGCACTACGTGCATAATAAGACTAGAAGAAAAGAAGGTTGGAAGCAGGTTTCCAAATGTGGTTATATTTGTAGGGTAGGCAATATCTGTAGGGTAGACAAATTCCTTCATGATTCAAGGAAGACTTTATATTTCTGACACAAGTTGTTTAGTTATTATGTGCTTGTTTATATGAAATTACTCCAATTATATTTTAAGACACTGGTGGGTTTTCTTTACTCTTTTCTCTGTGTTTTAGCGAAATGCCGTCAAATTGAAAACTACATTTAAAAATAAATCTTTATCCCACTCCTTAAAATATCAAGGTTGAAAGAATTTTAAATATTGAATGTATTTATCCATACCATTTATGTATTTGTTTCTTTTTTTCTCACATTGACTAGTCACTTCCACTGTCTGGGTCCCATATGTTAATACAATGCTACAAGTTGTGGTTGCAACCAATTAAATGTCACATTTCATTGCTTAAATGGAGGCGGGCAGGGAGCTGCTGGTTGTTGCTGCTGGTTAATTGGTTAATAACTGACATCCCTAGTTGCAGTTACTTTATGGCACTGATTCTGCAAAAGCCTTATTCATGTGCTTAACTTCATACACTGTGAGTAGTCCCATTGTCTTCAAAGTCCCATAGCATATAAAGTGGAGTGTATTGTAAGTCTTTATAGGATTGGGGCCAAAAGAGGGAGCATAAACTGCCATTGTCTTTCTGATAATAGGTTAGCTGGGATTTGATATAATAGGAAAAGTTAGTGAAATTCTTATGCTTAAGGTTTAAAATTGTATGAGTGGCACTTTTTGTGTACATTTATATTATGGTTGTTGCAGAAGTTAGAATTAATGTGCCAGCAAAACATATTACTGGATTAGTGATTTTTGGAGAGTTTTATGAAAATTATAACCAATATTCAGGTATTAGAATTAGGAATGTGAATGACTAGTCGGTTAGTTAACTCTCCGCTAAGCGAATGCTTATCAGATAGTCGACAGGCTAGTCAACGAGTTGCTTTCTCCCACCCACTCCTTGCTGCCTCTATCAGAAAGAGGAAGTAAGTGGGGGGAGGGGAGGAATGGGGTGCTTCAAGGTAGCAGGGCCACGTGGAGCCTGGTGTCAGACTCTGGGCTCCATGAGGCGCTGCTGCTTTAAAAGGCTGCACAGCAGTGCTGCATGGAGCCAGGGGTCTGCCACTTTGAACTGCCACGTGCAGCCCAAGGTTCCCAGCTGACCCTGGGCTCTATGCAGTTTGTGGAGCCTGGGGTCAATTGGGGACTCCCCTGCTAACCCCAGGCTCCCCGGGGCATCTCAAAGTGGCAGAGCTGCATGGAGCCTGGGGTCAGCTGGGAACTAAGAGTGCCCATCTGACCCCGGGCTCCAAATGGTGCTGCCGTTTTGAAACACTTTGAGGAGCACAGGGCCAGCGGGCCTTATCCTCCCCACAGTGCTTTTGTCTTTGAAGTGTAGCAACAGCCCGAATTCGATTAGCCTAATAATCAACAATTTACGTCC